TCTCCCCCTGGGCACTGTCCCACCGGCTTCCCTCCCGTCCCGGCACCACCAGGCAGGGCCTCGGCTCGGGCTGAGCTGAGCTTTAATGATGGACAAGAAGCAAACGCGACTCCCAGGCGCGTGGCACGGCCCCGGGCCAGCATCTCGGGTCACGGCCGTCACGGTCGGGCCCAGCACCAGCCAGGCCCCCCCCCGCCCCGGCACTGGCTGGAGAGGGGAGGGGAGCTACAGCCACCGGGACAGTGGGCGATAAGGCACCAGGCAGCAGTGAGGAGGGGTCGGATTAAGGCACTGGGGTTGGGGACACCCCCCCCGCGCAGGGGGGGGGATTGGTCCCTGTTAGAGGCAGCCCCATAGGGGCGGGAGGGAGCTGGAGGCACTTCGTCCCCGTGGGGGGACACGGAGGGGACGCAGAGGGGACGCAGGGTGGCCGAGGCGGGACGGCAGGGAGCCCCCAGCCCCACACCGCCCGCCGGGCTCCTCTTCTCCACGCCGCGGGTCACACCGGCACCACGTAATTGCCAGGGAAAGTGCCGAATTTCTGCGTCCTCCTGGACACGCCTGGGGGGGGAAAGGCAAAGTGATGCGGTGAGGGAGCCGCAGTGGCATCCCGTCCCCGTTCCCATCCCCATCCTGACGGCCACGCACCCACGAACCAGCCGTCGTCGCATTGCTGCATGACGTCCACCCGGTCCCCCTCCAGCAGCTCCAGCTCGTCGGCGTTTTGGGGCCGGTACTGGTACAGCGCCCGGTACCTGCAAGACACAGCGTGGCCAGAGCCCGCGCTGCCACCGGTCCCACGCGGGGACACTGTGCCACGGTGCCGCTCCGGGCGCTACTTACGGGGTCCACTGGATTTCAGAGCCATTGTAGGACGGGGCAGGCTCGGGGCGGGTGCTGGTGGGTGCCCCCGGGGCTGCATGCTGCAGGGGGAGAGGATGGGTGCAGAGTTACGGGGCAGCACCCACATCCCCAGCGGTGCTGGGGCACGATGCCGGGGCTGGGGGCTGTGGCGAGGGGTCGCTCACCTGCTCGGGGGGCCAGGCCGGGCGCCAGGGCTCCTGGGGATGGGCGGCCGCAGGGTGTGAGGGGCCGGTGGGGATCGGTGAGGGGATTGGGGCACCGGCGCGGGGCAGCTTTGGGGAGGGGGGGAAGGTGAAGCCGAGGTGGCGGGGGG